ATTGGTGTGGAGGAAATAAGCTTTATATGAGCGTGTGATATGGAAGTAATAAAAGCGACACACTGCATAATAAAGGTCCATATCACAAGTGGCAATATAAAGTGACGTTTTTTCGCATTAAGATTTTGTGCATCCAACCATAAAAGCACATGACAACCTCTGCTTCCCTCTACGAAGGGCCTATCTTTTACTTTTATCTCCTACATTGCATAAGAGCCATGGTGATCCTCACCCTTCCTTTTTACGTTTTATCCTTTGGCAAGCACAATATGTTGGAAAGATCCTGGTATATATGGCTAATTGGATGTGAGTTTTCATGAACTATTACTGTTGACATTAACCTTGAGGTAAAATGTTGGGAGGCAAAACTATAAGCCCCTATCTTTCTCTGTGTCTGATTAAAATTCCATACCCATAAGTATTGCGTGAGTGTCAGCAATTGTGAAAGATTATATGATAGTTGAGTATGTGGACTTGCTGAAAGGCTCTTATACATTGACTCTTTCCTATGTTATGATAAATTGCAATTTCTTCAATGACTGAGATTGTAGTTTGTTAGTTTTCAATGAAGTTTACGATTCATACTTGATATTGTGATTGAATTATTACTCTAGCATTAGATATTATATGACAAAGAATTATGTAAGTTGCTGTTCTAAGAATGATCATGATGCCCTCATGTCTGTATTTTATTTTTATCGACACCTCTATCTCTAAACATGTGGACATATTTTTCGATTTCGGCATTTCGCTTGACGGCAAGCGAGGTCTAAGCTTGGGGGAGTTGATACGTACATTTTGCATCATGCTTTTATATCAATATTTATTGCATTATGGGTTGTTATTACACATTATGTCACAATACTTATGCCTATTCTCTCTTATTTTACAAGGTTTACATAAAGAGGGAGAATGCCGGCAGCTGGGATTCTGGGCTGGAAAAGGAGCAAATATTAGAGACCTATTCTGCACAACTCCAAAAGTCCTAAAACTTCACGAAAGATGTTTTCCAAATATATAAAAAATACTGAGAGTAAGAACTTCACCAGGGGGCCACACCCTGCCCACGAGGGTAGGGGGCGTGCCCTACCCCCTTAGGCGCGCCCCCTACCTCGTGGGCCCCCTGGTGGCCCTTCGGTGGCCATCTTCTGCCATATGGAGTCTTTCGATGGGAAACAAATCATAAGCCATATTCTCGGACGAAACTCTGCCGCCACGTGGTGAAACCTTGGCGGAACCAATCTAGGGCTCTGGCGGAGCTGTTCTGCCGGGGAAACTTCCCTCCCGGAGGGGGAAATCATCGCCATCGTCATCACCAACGCTCCTCTCACCGGGAGAGGGCAATCTCCATCAACATCTTCATCAGCACCATCTCATCTCAAAACCCTAGTTCATCTCTTGTATCCAATTCTTGTCTCCAAGTCCGGGATTGGTGCTAGTAGGTTGCTAGTAGTGTTAATTACTCCTTGTAGTTGATGCTAGTTGGTTTAATTGGTGGAAGATCATATGTTCAGATCCTATATGCATATTAATACCCCTCTGATTATGAATATGTTTATGCTTTGTGAGAAGTTACTTTTGTTCCTGAGGACATGGGAGAAGTCTTGTTATTAGTAGTCATGTGAATTTGGTATTCGTTCGATATTTTGATGAGATGTATGTTGTCTCTCCTCTAGTGGTGTTATGTGAACATCGACTACATGACACTTCACCATTATTTGGGCCTAGATAAAGACATTGGAAAGTAATAAGTAGATGATTGGTTGCTAGAGTGACAAAAGCTTAAACCATAGTTCATGCGTCGCTTCATAAGGGGCTGATTTGGATCCATATGTTTCATGCTATGGTTATGTTTACCTTAATACTTTTATTGTATTTGCGGATGCTTGCAATAGAGGTTAATCATAAGTGGGATGCTTGTCCAAGTAAGCGCAGCACCCAAGCACCGGTCCACCCACATACCAAATTATCAAAGTACCGAACGCGAATCATATGAACGTGATGAAAACTAGCTTGACGATATTCCCATGTGTCTTCGGGAGCGCTTTACATCATATAAGAGTTTCTGCAGGCTTGTCCTTTGTTACAAAAAGGATTGGGCCACCTTACTGCACCTTATTTACTTTTGTTACTTGTAGCTCGTTACAAATTATCTTATCACAAAACTACCTGTTACCACTTATTTCAGTACTTGCAGAGAATACCTTACTGGAAACCGCTTATCATTTATTTATGATCCTCGTTGGGTTCGACACTCTTACTTATCGAAAGGACTACGATAGATCCCCTATACTTGTGGGTCATCAGTGGGCGCAGCAAATAAACAGCGCGCGATGGCATTTCAGCCCGCGCGCTGAACTAGTTATGCCGCCCACGCGGTTTTTGGCTAATTTTTTTTAAATAATACATTTTTATTAATTTGTATAAATATTATGCCTACATTTTTATTTTTAAAAATAATACACCATCGCCTGTTGCAGGCTGACTGGGCCTAGTCGGCCCACCACAGGCCGATTGGCTTCCAATCGGCTCGCAGCAAGCCGACTGGGACTAATTGACTTGCTGCGAACCAGTTAGTCCCAGTCGGCTTGCTGCGAGCCAGCAAGCCAGTTAGTCCCAGACGGCTTGCTGCGGGCCGACTGAAAGATAATCAGCCTGTGGTGGGCCGACTAGGTGCATGTGGCCATTTTTCCTTTCCTGTTTTTGGTTTTAGTTGTTGTTTTCTATTTATTCTAGCTATCAAATGAATCTGATTTGTGTTGAAACTTTTTGCATAAATTACTTGCAATATTAACATGCCACATATAAATTTTCATAATTTTTGGAAAACCACATATTTACATTTGTATTTGATAGCTCCTGGTGAATATGGATAGTGTTTAAATTTATTTATCCAAATTGGATTTTTTATAAATATTAAAATATTCAGGAGAATGGTTTAAACATTTTTATGAAACAATTTTAGGAATTTTTTTGGCTTATGAAACAATATGAAACAATTTTTGTGAAACAATTTGTGGAACATAAGCCAAAAAGTATTCTCAAATTGTTTCATAAGCCAAAAAATAATTTTCCTCAAATTGTTTCACAAAAATTGTTTCATAAGCCAAAAAAGTATTCTCAAATTGTTTAACAGGAAATTTTAAACTATTCTCCTCGATATTTTAACATCTATAAAAATAAAAAAATCAATCTGGATAGATAAATTTAAACCCTATCTATATTCACCAGGAGCTATCTAATACAATTGTAAATATGTGGTTTTCCAAAAATTATGAAAATTTATATGTGGCCTGTTAATATTGCTAGTAATTTATGCAAAAAAATTCAACACAAACGAGATTCATTTGATAGATAGAATAAATAGAAAACAATAACTAAAACCAAAAACAGAAAAAGAAAAATGGCCGCATGCACCTAGTCGGCCCGCAACAAGCCGACTGGGACTAATTGGCTTTGGCCTGCGGTGGGCCGACTAGGCTGGTGTATTATTTTTAAAAATAAAAATGCCGGCGTAATATTTATGCAAATTAATTAAAAATGTATTATTAAAAAAAATAGTCGGTTTTTGCGCCTTCGCTGGAGCGCTCGAACCGGTAGCGGACACGCAAAAGCCACTAAGTTTTTAGCACGGTGCTTATATAGCGTGTTTGTTGGAGATGCTCTTAAGATCATTGCAGTATAGCTGGTGAATGCAATGCCCACTTTAACAACAAAACTGAGCAAATGCATTCATTGCCAAATGCCAAGAGAAATAACATAGCAGATGTTGAACCGACATTTAAGATCTGACCAAGCCAAATCCAACATCATCTAAAGATTTCCAAACCATTGAGAAATGAACACAAATAGGTGAAAGCATCTCACATTCTACCATTCAATTAGCTGCAAATACAGATACAGTTTACTTATACAAGCTGACACTAATCCATCGGCTGTAGCCTACAGCTTAGAGACCCCTTTCGGGGATCCAACGTGAGATATAAGTTTTGATACATTAGGCTAGCATGGGCTTCAATAGTTTCTAGCCCATTTTCTCTCTCAACACTCTGCTACTGATCGTGTTTTCGATCAGTCAGCATTTTTGTAATCTCCTCTCTGCTAAATCAATGAAAAGCCAGGCAATTTGAATCTGAAAAAACAAACCTACAGCTTCCTATGGGATAAGTCTTCGCTGTCGCTTGAGGGCGTCGAGGAGGACGTCAGTACTTCATCGGAATAATGTTGTGGGGTGCACCGTCACAATCGTCGCTGCCGTCACCCTCGTCCGGCCTGTCATCAAGGTCATCATTGCCATCGGCCACAGGATTTGAGGGGGTCGTTCGAGTCCGTCGCCGGCCTTCCGACCGAGATTTAGGCTTCCGAGCAGGGGATTTGGCGCGGGATGAGAGATCATGAGCCCACGATTTGGGACTGAGAGAGCAGTTGAGTCTTGGGTTGGGGATCATGGACTAGGGTTTCAAGACATTTTTGCAAAAAAGATGTTGTTTAGTCCAGAAGCCGGCGGCTAAATGCAAATATTCATTGTGTTGGATACAAAGTGCATGATTTAGATCGTCTGGTGGAGAATGGAAAGGATACACGGATACACGAAACATATGGATGCACTAGATATGTTGCTGTAAAGATGCATGACATGCATATGTATTGCTTGATGAGGCCCACTAGTGATAGCTTGCGTTGAGGAAAAAAATTCAATGTATATGGCTCAGCCTACTTTTTTTCATGGGGTATCTTTATCCATATGCCATCATAGTTGAAAGATACACCGGCATGTATAATGAAGGTGAACAATTTTATTCAGAACATGAGAGTGATTAACAACCCACACTAAAAACAAACAAGGATAAAACATTGTGATGGAGAACTATCACATTATTAAGCACCATGCATGACACAGAGGCATCCATAAAGTTCATACTACCATAGTACCTAGTTATTGCCACTGCCGCTGCCGCTCGGGTAGTAGCAGTAATCAGAATCCGAACACGTCCATCTCCTCAAACTTTTTCCCTCTCGGCCTTGGCAACCCTCCATAGTGAGCTCTCTCTCACGGTCGCCGGAACGATCTTGGGCGCGGCGAAGGAGAACTTTGATGCCGGCAGGTTCGCCCTATACTCCGGGTTATCCTGGAGGAACTTCTCCACGTCGCTGCCGGACCGCGCGCGCTTCCCGTTGGGTAGCAAGTAGTAGGTGTCCATCTTGGACAGGTCACGCCGCATGATCACCAGCCGCTCCGTCGCAGGTGGCGGGCGCGGGATGCCTGGCTTGTCCATGACCCAGATGCAGCTGCTGTCGCACGGAATGTCTTCCGGCTGCTTGCAGGAACGGCCGGCGCTGGGGTCCCTGTCACAGAACCAGGGGTCCTCGGCTAAGCTCTCGCGGATCGTCTCGAACTCCTCTTTCGTTGGGATCTTGCGCCATTTCTTACATTTGTAGCATTGGACCGTGTACATGCCGATGGAGTCCTTCAAACTTTTCTTAGTCTGTCAAATCATCCCAAATTAGTTTAAGGTGGCACGTGTACTAGTAGTTGGTTGTATCAGGCAAGACAAACAGATTATATGAAGTACCAAATTGAATGTACATGGTTAGGACATCAGAAGAATTATCTAATGAAGTAATAACATGAATAAAGTGAGAATATGAATGTACATGGTTATGAAATCTAAAGAATGGAAAAACAAGAAGAAAAAATGCCAAGGACGCGTAGAATTTTCTCAAGTTCCATATCGCTTACTTTCTAACAGTCCTCCCGTACTCTATCCATTATCCTAATCATAAGGTTCATTACGAAACAAACAAGATTTGCTTGCAAGAGCTTGGTGTTTGAACGAATTAAATTTTGAATGACATGTTTCTTATAGTATGATAAATGGAACCACATATAATTTTTTACTCCCTCCATTTAAAAATATATTGCACATTAGCCTTGGTGAAAATTTATAAATATTGGTCAAAATATATGACGATCATTGTGTTGCTGTCAACAGGAAGGGAAACCCTATCCCCTTCTGCCCCGGCTCGGAGGCGCGGAGCTGGCGAGTCACAACCACACAGCTTTCCACCGAAGAACACCAATCCAAAGAAGAATCAACACTTGCTGGAACTTCCAATCTCCACAGAAAAACTAATGTTCGGACTCAGAACCGAGGAGCACCCACCAACCACATCACAACCACAAGGCACCGTCTACGCCCAACCGGAGACAGGTTTCAAGCTTTCGCTAGGAATCCGGGTCAGGATCGAGAGGAGAAACCTAAGTGGCACCTCTAGGG